TATAGTTCAGTTCAGCCAAATCGAAACAGCTAAAGGAAACAAAGTCTGCAGATTAAAACAGTACATCAAATGTTTCATTTTAGTAAGTGTTTTACGGCACTTGCAACACAATAAGGTCATATTATTACTGCCGAAGATTAGATATGTTACAAGAGAGTAACAAACACAGAAAAGAAGGGGGGAGATAAAGACGATAGATGCTTGATAGGAAAGAAGAAGCAAATCACACCATAGAGCACCCGCCAAAACCCACACATTTTTACTTTTGAAAAGGGCTTCAAGTGCTGAATTTTTAAAAAATCTTTGAAGATGAAATCCAAACGCACCGGCGGAGACTTCAAGAAACTTAAAAAGTTATACATGTATTATCCGCAGTGGCGTCGGTTGGGGCTGCAGACAAGGTGGTGCATAATTTGAAAGTGAGCAAATAGGCAATAGGCTTAGAGGCTACTAGCTACAATTAACATTTCTGGTGAAAGTCAAGTATAGAATCTGCAGGATATCCCGTAATCTACATCTATTCGTATTTACAACTGTTTCTAGATGAAACCGCATAAACGTAGCAAAAAATTGAAACGCTAACAACTCACTATGCTCACAATCTGAGAATATTTAAAGATTTCTAATTACTTCGTGCAGCATCAGGACTTGCTACACACTACACAATAGAGGGAGATAGGCTACCCATTCTTCATTGAGTTACCGTAGATTCTAGGCCTATAGTGTAGAAGATAGGCTAGCGGAAACTTGGATCTACTTTTTAGCCTGCACCAAATTGGTGCTGCGAAGAGCAGTTTCATGCACCTTTCTTCTTGTGAGGGAAGAACGATGCCTAGATTTCTCTACAGTGGCAAAATCATTTTGGTGCAAAGATTTTGTTTGCTCCCAGCAGACACTACCGCACGCGGTGCGAGCATAAACCATCCTCGCTGTCTGTCTCTTCGCGCCAGTGAGTGACGGATCGCAAGGATGTAGCCCACTGACCTATAGTTTTAGGTCAGTGATGTAGCCCTGTAGGCCTACACGTGATATGTATTGGTAAAGTGGTAATGTTGATCTAGAATCTAAAGTCTAGAGCACTGACACTGGTTTATAACAATTAGAAAGTGTGTGTGTGTGTGGGGGGGGGGTGAAGGCCAAGGTTAGGTGGAGCGTTTGCACCAA